TAAGCTTCTGCGGTTTCCTTTAACTTTACCAAGATCATAGAACAAATAGATCTAATTTTTGAATTATTATTGTTGGGATTATTAAAAAAAAATTTTCAAATGACAGCAGAATTTCTTCGGGTGTGAAATTTTTCTTTTCGCCTTTGAATCTGATTGAGATATAATTTTACCTAAATATATCGGATTGAATAACTTCGTCACTAAAGTTACGTCCAATGAGACGTTTAACATTAACTACAGTATTATAAGTTCATATTAATCTGGATTTTTTACAGCATCACCGATAAGACTTTCTGTTTCGATGAAAGCGACATACGAAGGCGTCGTACGATGACCCTGGTCATTAATAATAATTTTAATTCGATCGTTTTTCTAAACTCCAACGAGGAATATGTAGAACCCAAATCGATTCCAACTTAATTTAACACGGCAAAAAACCCACTTTAATCAGATATTAAATTTCTAATTGTATAAATGGTTAGGAAAAATTTTCAACGAAGTATTTTTTTCACAACGGATATAAAATAGTTTATAATTCCTTATTATTTATAATTTATTTATAATTTTCGGTTACACATCACCACGATAAATTTATGAATAAAGTTCGAGGTCGTTAAAGTTATAGCAAAATTATAGTAAAGCTGTATTTTAAGTTTATCGTTTACTTGTTAAATAATTAGTATATTTATACTTTTAAGTAAATTGCAATTTTTAAAATTAATTGTTAATCACAATAAAAAATAAGCATCTAAACTATTTATTTATTACTATAATTTGTTATTAAATCAATTTTATTAATTTATAAAATTTTATTATATTTTTTAAAATTATTTCTAATTATCAATATTATTTATCAATAAATTATATTTTATATAGTTAAATAAAAATTGTTTTATATTAATATTATAACTTAAAATTTATGATAATAATTTGATAATAAAATTTATTAAATTTAAAATAAATTATTTTTAATATTTTAAATAAAATTATTTATTCATTTTAATCATTTAAAATTATTTAAATCTAAATTTATTTTTAATATTTAATTAATATTTAAATAATAATTAAAATTTTTATTAGATATTATTTATACGAAAAAAAAGTTATTTTTTTAATAAAGATCTTTATTTAATTTATTTAATTTTCTAATGATCGATTAATAAGGATTTATT